GGGGGGGGGGGTGTCTCGCAGTTGCTGACAACAGATGGCAGGCAAAGAATGCCATCCCATGACTTAGTTCTGGAATCTTGTGTCTCAGCTTTGATTCCTGGAAAAGTAATTAAGCAGAGTAGCCCCTTGAAAATGCATGGAGGTAATAGTCTGCCTTGATTGTCAGTAACAAATCATATCAAAGCCATCTAATTTCCCTCTGTGAGAGGGTAGCTGATCTTGTGGACAGCACAAGAGCAGTAGGTATCTGATGGTGCAGCACTTTCAATTCTCTGATCATGAAGAGTGCTGAAGAAATACATGAATTTACCACATGGTGATACAGAACTGGACAGACAACCAGGCTTAGAGAGCAGCTGCCAACAGCAGTTCTTTCAGCCCGATTCAGCCTGAACGTAAGGCTTGTCTTCACCATTCCCATTCATGAGCTGTAATGTAGGACAGAAGATGCTCATTTTCCTTGTGTTTGAAAATGGCTGAGGTGACAAAGGACTGAAAAGGAGCTTAAGTGATCTTGTGACTGAGAAAACAATGAAACAAACAAACAAACAAACAAAACTACCATGGAATTTAATAAGGATAATGCAAAACAATCCTTTCAGATGGGATCTAATTGGGAATAGAAGCAGGGAGCATACCTCGTGTGTCACATTGCTGTCACTCTGCTGCAGAGGGTGTGTGCCATCCTGCCTGTGTGCCAGGCTCAGAACACCTGAAGCTGTCTGACATTCCTCCAGTGTCCCTGCCAGGAAAGGATGCAGTGGGGGGATTATGGCAGGGTGGGATGCTGCACAATGTGACAGCTGCAGAAACCCAAAAGAACCCTGAGATTAACCCCAAGGATCATCATAATCTTAAAAACATAGAGTGATTCAGTGAATTGGGGTTGCTCAGCTTTGGCACAGATAAGATCATTCTACATATGGACCTCCTGGTGAGTTAGAAGTGTTTCTCTAATGGTACAACCAGCATAGTACCAGATAAATTGCATGGTGAGGGCCTAAGCTTGTGACTGGCACCTTCAAGAAGTGGCTAGACAATAGCTAGAGCTGATTTATTTTGGGAAAGTATGGAAAAGGTTATTAAGTTCTGCGGGAGCCTTTACAACCTTGTGGGTCTGTTCCTTAGTATGAAGTATAACAGTGCTGGAACTGGCACGGCGCCTGTCCCAGCGTGGAGTGAAAAAAGCTGGAAAGCAGGCAGGGCGCATCCCAGGCCATTGCTCATCTCCTGCTTAGTCACTGGAACCCTGCAAGTCCCTGGGGTTGTGTCAAGTCCCCCAACCACGCGCATTAAAAACTAACCATACTTCCAGATCAGGCGAAGTTCAGTGCATGGTCTGTGTTAAGGCACTAAGAAAGACATTGCTCTTCAGCATCTGCTACTGCTTCCAGCTTCCTCCCTTCTTGGTTCTAAGGAGGAAGACACAGGAATAGCCTTTTGTACCCTGCAAACACCGAGTGCCCTCAAACCCCATTCACTTCTGTGCTATCTCCTCTATAGCAGAGAATGGGGACAAATCCTCAGATCCTGCCAGAGCAGGGCAGCCCCATAGTGAATGATCTGAGCCTGTTGTCCCAAGGTGCCCAGGAGCTGGAGGGTAGATGGGTTAACTCTAACAGCTACTTTTGAAGGGCCGAGTGCCCACGATCCGCTGGGGAGGTTTTACAGAGCTCATCCCTTATTCATCCCTTCCCAGCTGCAGCTCTTAGAGGAGAGAGTGATAATGTTCATGGTATTTTTCACTCCTTCCACGACAGTCAAGGCTGGACATCTGCTGTGCAGAGTCATCTCTGAGCTATTTGCAGTTATTTCACCATGTTGGGCACTGACCTGTGAAACCTGCCATGCAGTGAAAGCTTGGCCACATGCTGCTTTAAAAAAATGTGACTGCAAACACTGCTTTCCCATCCATCCCCACTTGTGCCTCATGTGTCATTCACACTGTATGTACCTGCTGAGGTTCTACCAGTGGGTCTATTTAAAATTTGTGTGAATCTTGCTTTCTTGTCCTGCAATGAACATGTTCCTTCATATCAGCTTTACTGTTGTAAGTGGCCTCCAGGTAATTGTGCTCTTTTAAGCCCTTGGTTATACTTGTTTCCACTTTCCCTGCTCACATCACTGCCTTTAGGTAAAAACTGTGCTGCAGGCAATGATGTAAGCATGGAAATTGCTGGCTTTACAGCTTGGCTACTCTGAAATACAGCTGGTAGCTTTCTGCAGGGGAAGATAATCTTATTACCATATCCCCTCATAACTATGAACAAACCTTGTGCTGAATCTTCCCCAAAAATTGCTCTCCTGAGTTTTAGTGAAATGTAACAAAAATATATCCTAGGCAGTGAGAGATCAATTGGAAAATACTCCACAGATACCTTTAGGCCCAGGAGACAAATTTAGGTAGAGCTGCCCGCCTGATTTGTAGAAATGGTGGTGCCCAGAGTGCAGAGCAGCTCATCTCCATGTTTATGCTGTCTTCAAGATTTCATGTCAAAGCTGGATGAGGTCAAGAGGGAAAAAGCTGTTATCTTGCTTATCTTCATTTGAATCAGTTAAGACTGTTTT